GGGGGGGGGAGTGGGGAGAAGGGGGATGGGAGAGCGGATGAGATGACAGAAAAGAACAGAAGAAAAGTAAAATGATTCCCAGGCTCCTTTTTGCTGTCTAATCCTGCAAGTGATGGCTAGACACCTAGTCAGAAACTCTGATGTTACTTTATATATATAAAGCATTATATATATAAATTGGTACATAATTTATGCATAAATATATATCAAATATTGTGTATATATTAAAAAGTTTATTTTTTCAATGATTTAACTTTTGCAACAATGAACATTACTAGAAACTACCAGCATATAATAAATGGTATATAATTGGGAAATTAAGTTTCTTTGTGAGTATATTAGTATGTTTGGTGGATTAAATACTTTGTATATGTCATCAGTGTATTTGTGAAAGTTTTAGAACTCATCGAATTTTTCCAGCACCTCAAGTAAACTCTGTCTTTAGGTGTTTGCTTTTTGCTATCTATACACATTATTTGGATGATCTACATAGGTAATTGCTTAGATACTAATATAATCTGGATTATTATATTAGTCTATGTGGACAATCAATATGCTTAATTTATTGTATAAGACAAACTCGCCGGGCTCGGTGGCTCAACCTGTAATCCCGCGCCTTTGGGAGGCTGAGGTGAGTGGATGGCCTGAGCCCGCGGGTTCGAGACCCACCGGGCAACTTGGCGAGACCTCATCTCTACAATAAATTAAAAACAAGCTGGGCGTGGTAGCGGCGCTTCCAGCTACTCGGAAGGCTGAGGCGGAAGGATCGCCGGAGCCCAGCAGGTCGAGGCTGCGGGGGCCGGGAGCGGCCACTGCACTCCAGTCTGGGCGACCGAGTGAGACTCCAACTCAAAAAAAACAAAACAAAACAAAACCTAAACTCAGGCCCGATGCAGTGGTTCACGGCTGTAATCTCAGCACTTTGGGAGGCTGAGATGGAAGGAGTTTAAGATCTGCCTGGGCAACATAGCGAGACAAAAAAAGTATAACAAAATGAACTAGGTGTGGTGGAGTGGGCTTGCAGTCCTAGATACTTTGGAGATTGAGGAAGGAGGACTGAACCCAGGAATCTGAGGTTACAGTGAGGTATGATGGTACCACTGCACTCCAGTCTGGGCAACAGATAGAGACCCTGTCTCTAGGGAAAGCAACAAAAAAAAGATTTATTATTCACACATAAACATGAACAGTGCCCATATTATGTTCAATATGAATTTGTTTGATAGAAACTTTTTATATCAAATAAATTAACCTGAACTATGAGCAAAATCAATCAAATTTACAAGAAGCATTTTTCCATACGAATAAAAAAAGAAGATAATGAAAAAGAAAGAGAGGCAGCCACTGTTAATACTAAAAATGATGGGTTAAGAAAGAATTTAGAGTGATGAGTCACAGGGTATTAATTATTGTGTTCATTCCTAACCCTACCTTCATATAAAACATTTGGAATTTAATGTCAATTCATACATTATTTAACACAATTCCCCACGCATGGAACGAAGAGTAGGATTCTCCAAACAAGTTCCAAAGGTCAGTTGCATGACTTTTGAATTGCTTCCTTGAAAATGATGTTTAGAGAATGTTATCCAATGCTCATATTATTTCAATAACCATGGAGCAACATTTTCCCAGAACTGTTTAGTTTGATCTAATTTCATAGACTTTTATTTTTCCTCTCCATGGAAAATATTTTCTTTGGAAAAGGTTTATTTTATCCTAGTGAACCACAGAGATAAATCATTCCTCATTTTGAAAAATAAACATTCTTTTACTTTTAGAACATTATGTTTTAGGCACTAAAATATACTGTTGAAAAAAACAGTTTATAGCACTAGATTTAAGAAATATTGAGCCATAGCATGAAGGGATGGGGTTTGGAACAAGATGATGTGAATCATTCCCAGGAAATAAAAATATAGAGCAGAATTTGACTTATTGACAATGAGAAGCTCTGTTTCATCCCTTTTGTTTTATAATTTCAATATAATTCGTCATAAAATAAAGGCCACCATCACCCCTTTAATTTATTCAGGACATTTCAGGACATATATATTAAATTATAATAAGATGAGGACCAACGGGAGACCCAAATTTTACTTGTAAAATGACAATTTGTATACCTAATCCTAAATTGTACCCCACATCTTTAAAATAAAAACAAATTTAAAAAGAGAATCAAGCTTGTCTTTTTCCTTGCTTCTATCACAAAGTATTGAGTTATATAGACAACCCAACAACAAATTTTTTTGTTCGGGATCAAATATAGTCATGATCTGCTAGAAATTCAACTTTCATTTATGTTTAAGGATACACATGGTCTACACGTACTCTTTGTGCATATACAGACTAAGAATTGAAGTTCTATATTTCAGATAATATGCGGATATTTTAGTGTGGGATTATTTTGTTTTTCTGTCTGTTTTTAGGATGGATGACGCTGAGGCCTGTTTTATTCTGAGCAGCCGTTGTGAAGTAGATAGGACATCATCTGTAAGTTTAAAAAATCTCCTTTAGTAAGTTGTGCTTTTCACTTTAGAAGACTTTTTTATTTTATTTTTTAAAATCTGCCAGCATTAAGTATTGGTGACCTTAAAATTTCACTAAAGAGAAACAAGTTTTTTTTAGTTATCTTTACCATATCATAACAATAGTTGTAACATTGTGTCAACAAAAATGTTTTTGGAGTAGTTTCTACAAATAGTCTTGCATTCTATTGATCAAATATAAAAGTAGTCATATATAAATAGAAATAGACCATTTTTTAAATTAAATATGTCCTATGGCATATTTAAACCTCAATATGCTCAACTCTAAAACAAGGCAGATGAATCAGGCAGTCTTCAATAGAATGAAGAGTTTCTTAAAAATACACATATGTAAAAATTTTAATCAAGATACCTGGGGTAGGAATCAGGAATCTGTATATTTAAAAAAGATGCCCAGATGATTGTGAAACATATCTCAGTTTGGCAACCTTTGGCTTATATAATCTCTATGATTTTTTTTAGGTCCATACTTCTATTACAATTATAACAAAATTCAATAGTATACATTACCAAATTAAAGTTCGTTTAAAACGTGTTTTTAATTTTGCTATTTTAAGTGCTTTATTACTTTATGTTGAATAAATATTATTATTCCCTCCTGAGTTTCTAAGCCAATGAGTTCATCTCTAACCATATCTGTGGTGTGTGGACAACTGAGAACACTTGATTCCTTCCATAGTTACTGGAGAAAAGGCAAAATGAGCATAAGTCTTTCAGACACATGTTTTGTGCTTTTCTGGAGCATCTAACAGGCATGCTCTGTTATATTACTTTAGGACTGTAAGTCCTGAATATGGCAGGCTCTGTGTTGTCCTCACTCTAATTTACCCAAATTTCTTACTCATTAAAAAAAAAAATAATAATAATAATAATAAATAAACCAACTTTCTCATAGGTGAGGGCTGCTATGGGTTGAATTATGACCTTGAAAAGTTCATATGTCGAATTCCTAACCCTCAATAAATCAGAATGTGAACTTATGTGGAGATAAGGTCTCAACAAAGGTAATCAAGTTGTAATGAGGCCATTAGGGTGGGACCTAATCCAATATGACCGGTGTTCTTGTAAAAAGGGAAAATTTGGAGGCAGATGTATATAGGGAGCATGCCATGTGAACATGAAGACAGCTATCTATAAGTCAAGGAGAAATGCCTGGATTTCAGATTTTTAACCTCTAGAACTGTGAGACTTTTTTTTTGTTAAAGCCTTCTAGCTAGTGCTATTTTGTTGTCAGGCCTAGAAAACTAATAGAAGGGTGTAGACCAAATAAATTATAGAAAAAATATAAAATATTGAAAATCTTCTTCTCCCCTCCTTCTCTAGAATTACTATCTTATTTCAGACCAGACCCTTGTCAGCTCATTTAAGCACTACTTCAGTAGCTTCTTAATTGATTCAACATAGTAGATGCTCAAAACATATTCATTGAAGAAATGAAGATGAACTGAACATGATCTTGTGTTTCTATAAGTATTTGGTTTACGTAATTGTGACTCTTGTGCCCTTCAAGTGGCAACTTGGTTTTAAAATACATGCAGACTTCTAGTATGTATATTTTTGTATAACAAAGGAAGTATACACATAAGGAAATAAATATATAATGCCTTCTAGAGTCTCTTTACACTGTGAATTTGAAAGCTTTCAGTTAGACAAATGCATTCCATTTCCTCGTGACAGTCTACTAAGTTGACAGGAAATGAATAAAAAGATTTACACCCACAAAGAGAACAGGTTGGTAGATGAAACAGCACTAATAGAATTTTGGAATGTAGAAAGCAGATGGATGAGTGGCAACTGACTTAACAACGAAAGAAGTTAAAGTTTAAGTTCACACAGGAAACAAATTAGAAGCAGGTTGCTTTTTGCAACAGAACCTCAAAAATCTCAGAAAATAGAGACACCAGATGCCTCTGAATGTAGGGTTATATGTAAGACTAAATAAATGAATAGGGTTGAAAATCTGCAAGAAAAGCAGATTCTGTAAACCCCTTTACATATCCATTGCTGGTTACTTTCCATGGTAAAAGTTTTCTTTTTCGGAGAATTTAATCCAGTGATACCCTCCACTCAGAGACACTACATGCAGTTAAAAGTCCAGGTGTTTTACTAAAATTAAGGAAATTGAGAACATGTTGCCACACTGAATGTGAGATGCTTTTCCCCAGTGACTCTGAGAACTTTTATTGTCTAGTCCACATCTAAATTGACACAATAGTCCATCACAAAAGAAAATGCTTTCTCTCTCTCTCTCTCTCTCTCTCTCTCTCTGTCTTCCTTTCTCCTCTGTCTGTATCTATCAAGTGTGTATGTGTGCGCATACATGTGTGTACAAAGGAATGTTTGAAATTTTCCAGGACAATATTGCAGATTGATCACGCTACAGTAAAATCTGTGTGGAAAATGTCTGCATTCACTCAAGTCCCAACGTCTTTTGAGTGCTTCATCTCTACATCTGTTCAGACCAGGGACCACTACATTTGAGGAAATTCCTAACAAGAGCAAGAAAGAGAAAATGAGCAAACTAACAAAAAGCATACAGGAAAGAAGAATTCAGAAGAAACAGAAATGACACCATATAATTCTGGGAGAATAAATCAATTTTAAAATATATATTTAATAAATATCCTTAGTAGTATGAGCAGATGGTGCATATATGAAACAATAGTCAGCTAGAGAAGAAAACAAAACAAGAAACATTCAGTCAACCTAAAATAATGCTTGGAAATTAAACATAGGGTAACAAATGAAAAATTAAATAAAAGCCTAGAAGAATAAGCTAAGGACACTGGAGAAATGAAGCATAAATAAAATGAATAGTAAAGCCAAATAATAGAGGACAAGAATCACAAAGTAAGAAAATTAGAGAAGTAGTTGGGAAGAAACAATATTTATATAGTAGGACTTTAATAAAGGGATTCTATGAAACAGTTGGGGAGAATATTATCAAGACTAAAATATAATCAAATTTTCCAGACCAAAATTTTCAAATTGAGAGGCCCCACTCATTACAGAATAAGGACCAGAAAAGACTTATAATGGTCAGAGAGAAAAAGATAAAACAACAGCCAAAAGAAAAAGGGAAATGGGAAGAGGAATAGTAGGAGAAAAATAAAACATTCAGAACTAAGGATGGAGAATCAGAATGACTTTAGACCTCTTGTTATTAGTATTATAAGACAGAAGACGATGGGACAATACTTTCAGCATTCTGAAGGAAAATACTTTTTTCACTTATAATTATGTATCCTGGCAAAATTTTAGTTCAGTAAGAAGGGAAAAAGTTATTTATAGATATTGAAGTTTTCCAAAAAACTCACTACTCTCAGGAGGCTGGTAAAAGATATGTTTTATCAAAAACAAGGAGTAAGTGAAGAAAAAGTAGACTCAAGGGATCCACACAAAGGACAGAATGATATTGCCATGGTGACAGTAAAAGCAGATCCTGGCATCCTAGGCCAGCAGTTGAACAGCAGGCTCATTAGTGCCAGCAGTCAGTCCATGGCAGATCATGAAGAACTTCAGAAGGCCTCCTCTGGGAAAGAAGTCAAATTGGTGTTCCCTGATGTGGTTGACTATATTGGGAGGGGACTTCACTTCTGTACAGGTGTTTTGGACTGAATTGTATTATGTTCTTCCTACCATGAACTACAGAATTTCACTGTATTTAGAAGTAGAGCTTATAAATAGGTAATTAAGTTTAACTGAAGCCATTATGGTAGTCCCTAATTTAATATGACTAATGTCCTGAAAAGAGGAGGAATTTAGGACATACAGAGAGACACCAAGGGTGCATGTGAACAGAGGGTAGCCATGGGAAGAGGCCTCAAGAAGGCAGATACCTGCAAGTGAATGTCAGAGGCCTCAGAGGAAAACAACCCTGCCCGTACTTTGCCATTCAACTTCCAACCTCCAGAATGGTGAAAAAATAAATGTTCATTTCTTAAGCCACTCAGTTTGAGATAATTTGCTACGGCAGAATAAGCAGATTTATACAATAAATTTTGAATTATTGATGACTGGGTAAGAAAGCTAAACAAGTGCTAAAGAAACAACCATAGAGCCAAACAGAATACTCAAGATTTGAAACATAATTATAGCACTTACCATGCTGTATTAGGAAAATCCTTTATAATATGATGAACACTGAATATTGATTTCCTCAAAATTATCAAACTGTAATCATGTACCACATAACAATGTTTCAGTCAATGAAACATGTACAACATTGGTCCCATAAGATTTCAAGGGAGCTGAAAATTTCATATTGCCTAGTGATGTCATTGTAGCTTTATAGTGCAAGGTGTTACTCACATTTGTGTTGATTCTGGTAGGAGCAATAGGCTTATACCATAGGCCTAGGAGCGTAGTAGGCTATATGCTATTTGGGTTTTTTCTCAGTACGTTCTTTAATGTTTGCACAATGACAGAATTGCCTAATGATGTATTTCCCAAACCCTATCTCTATTAAGTACAGCATGACATATATTCAAAGGATAAGAGAAAGGGAAATTGAGAGTGGAGAATGACAAGAAAGTCATATTCTTTTGTTCCATAATAGGAAGCCCTTAGATACTATTTTAAATTAAAAATTAAGAAGTAGTAATAAAATCATATTTAGAAATATGGAGGCAAGTAAGAGAATAACCAGTTTTAGGGCTGTGAAGTTCCTCTGTGGAGAGAAAATGCAGCATGAGACGAAGAAAGAGAGGGGAGGCTGTTCTTATATACTATGGAACTTGTAGAACTGTCTTTTTGAACTATTTACATTTATAAGTTTGATAATATTTTTAATTGAGTTGGATTTGGAAGATGTCTTTTTCTAGAAAAGAATTCATTTATCTAAAAGATGAATTTTTTGTTGCGGGCAGGTAAACGTGTTCCTCTTTGTATCAGTGTCGTAAACCTAGAAATACCAGTAAAAGCATGAGTAAATTTGCAGTTGAA